GATTTATGTTGCAACCTCCAATGGGCCATTTTACTCTGGGTGGGAAATAAATCTTCAGTTTGTTGACACCCAGTAAACAGTGAGTTGTCTCTGTTAAATGTCACTAGTAACTTCTAATTATTTTTAGAAGTCACAGGCTATATAACCAACAAGTCGGAATATAGAGATAATTTACATCAACTCTGCTCCAGTATCCTCAACTCTCCAATTATTGTGCTTTAATGAGTGGTTTTTAAATTAGACTGTTTTTAGAGATTGGTTTAATTATAAATAAGTAGAGCTATCAGAAAATGTCAAGTTAACTGACCCAATTCCAGTGGACATCTTTTCAAATAAAGCTTGCTTATTTACAAATATTATGAAAATGTATATGAATTTTTCCAATTAATTTTATTATTTCTGTTTGTTGTTGTGCTCTTAAAAACATCAAATTTGCTCTTCATGCTTCTATATTGTTTTAATTGAAACATCAGTAAAGAGGCTGGGTGCTGTGGCTCACACCTGTAATCCCAGCACTTGGGAGGCTGAGGTGGGTGGATTGCCAGAGCTCAGGAGTTCAAGACCAACCTGAGCAAGAGCAAGACCCCATCTCTAAAAAATGGCTGGGTGTTGTGGTGGCACCTATAGTCCCAGCTACTTGGGAGGCTGAGGCAAGAGAATCACTTGAGCCCAAGAGTTTGAGGTTGCTGTGAGCTGTAATGCCACGGCACTCTACCCAGGGGGACAGCTTGAGGCTCTGTCTGAAAAAAAAAAAAAAAAAAGTAACAATTCTATAGGAAATTAAAATAATATTAATTAAATAGTCATTAAAATAATATTAATTTGGGGCCAAGCATGGTGGCTCATGCCTGCAATCCCAGTGCTCTGGGAGACTGAGGCAGGTAGAGTGCCTGAGCTCAGGAATTAGAGACCGAGCCTAGCAAAAGCCAGACCCCATCTCTAATAAAAATAGAAAAAAACTAGCCAGGCATTCAGCTGATGAGTGTGAGGTTGCTGTGAGATAGGATGCCACTGCACTCTACCCAGGACACAGAGTGAGACACTGTCTTAAATACGTACATACATAAATATTAATTTCAAAATCTTAATTGTGAATTATCTTCTGTAGCCCAAAGCTAGTTATACTCTATTTCTTGTGAAGTTTTTTTCTGGAATGTTTCACAAGCTGTAGTACTCAGTTCTATTTATTTGATTTTACTCAAAGTCTTACTTCTAATTAGTGTGGTATAAATAAAGATTTTTTTCCTCTAGAGAGAAAAATTAAGCAGAGTCATAATTACTTTGACATATAGAACAATGGAGAGGAATCATCATTTGGGGGGATATTTTTTGTTTCTAGTACTAAACCAGTGGAGTC